TATTGTAATATATGATATGATTCTTTCAAATGGATCCTAGTTAGAGTTTAAGGTGAAAAAGATTATATCAAGAAAATGCCCTGTTTACTTTTTATATATAAATAGAAACCCATGTATTATCTATTACATATGGTTTGCTGGTGACCAGGTGTTAGATAAAGAACATTATTGGGAGTTTAGCTGACATAGCAATATAAGTTCTCCTGTAAGACACCATCTGCATGCTTTTGATGACATTCATTTAATTATGGGTATTATGATATATAGCATGGAATCATTTGAATATATGGTTGGCCTTGATTTTGGTTAAATAGAGTGTGTTACACTTTCCCATGTGCAGAATGTACATACACTTCACCCAGAGCTTTCTGTAATCATACCAACTTGCTTTTATCTCCATCACAGCTGCTGGAAATCCCATTCATATGAGCATACTAGCAAGGCTCTCAGGGGTAGTGTAATTTATCTTTTGTGAGTGCATGTTTTTAAGTTGCTGTGGTGTCAGTACCCAATCAAGTGTTGAAACAGTGTAAAAGTCTAGCTTTTTATTTGATCAGTATTTTATTTTTTCAGGAGTCAGCTTAGTGGGGGATCATGGATGTTCATGCAAATCGTTAAAAATAAAAAACGCTGGCGAGCATTTAAACTTATGGCCTATTTTATGTACCCATGTTTGTGGAATATTCTGATGAGGTGGGATAATACCTAGATGCAGTGTTGCCAACAGGACTCCTGAGCTAGAGGCCCATCTGTAGTTTTATTTATGGGTTTACGGTAACTGTTTCTAGTGTTTTATTAAGTTTATACTATGAGTTCTCATATCTATTTAATAAAGAAGTTAGAGGCTGCTGCAGTTAACCCCGAACTAAAATGGTTATTAATGGCACCTGTGATTATTTTCTTTAGTTTGTCAAAAAACATGTTTTGTGTTGGCTCATCCTCAGATACAATTACACAGTTTGTTGAGAATTGTTCTTCTATAAGAACTCATCTGCGGCTATTACACATTAATTTGACCTCATATGTTGTTTTTATTTGTAGAATTTTGTAAATATTTTATTCTATTGTAACTTCGTAAAGCATATTTTATGAGGCAGCTTATTATGTTTAGTATAATGTATTTCCTAAACACAGTATAGTAATTCTCAGACATATAAGATTATCACTTTTGATGATATCAAGTGGATTAATAACATCTATTAAAATAGTATATATATTTAGTTAAAATTAGTTCCCATTTTTTAATAATTATTATAATAATAATTATTATCATTATCTAAATTATTATTATTATTATTATTATTATTATTATTATTATTATGTGTGTGTATAATTATTTTATTAATATATTATACAATCTAGTATGAAGTGGCATCTATCGGTACTGAAGAATCTCTGCTCCTGATGATACATGATAACACACACACGACACATTAATTTTCTTTTTTAATCCTGCATATTAAGATTGTATCATCTGGGCGAATTTTTTTTTTTTTGAGTTTGAAAAATCGGCCCATGGTATTAATAAATGTAGTTCTATGTGCAGAATCATAGTATCTTCAGATTTGAAAAAGTTTTCATTTTTTGCTAGGTAAATTTTAACTTGAAATCTTATGAAATTGATATTCACCTTTACCAACACCACTCGACAACTTATTTAAAATGTAAAATCGTCTCTCAGGTTAATTTATTGGGATGAAAATGATCCAGAATATGAGTGAAGCAGATGATCTTGACACATTTATTAAATTTAATATTTCGCTAGAAAACAAATAATCAAATGCAAAGCGGTTTACTCTCGACCGGTGTTACTGCTATAGAACATATCTTTCTTGGCCTGTTTCTCCTCATCACCTCCTGCACAGCCACTGAAGGCTCGGATGTAGCCTTCCCTCCTCTCCTGTTTCCTTTACGTGACTGCCCAACCTCGCTCACTTATAGCCACCTGCTCCTATACTAAGGGGTGTCTGAGGCCAGGCAGGGACATGCATGGGGTTGTCCAGGAAGCTCTGGCTTGAACATTGGTGAGGCTGCCCAGGTGAGGCTCACTGCCCGGCCTGGATGTTGTCAGATCCTGAGATCAGTGAGGGGTCAGCACCTGATTGACAGGAGTCTTCCTGACCTGAGATAATCACCAGCAGAGATTCGTCATGCCCAGATCCTCATAGAGTCTCATATCCAAGATCACGGCTGCCACTCTTCTCTCTTCCTCATCCCTTACTGCAGGCTGTCACACCAGAACTGCCCCTCGGGATAGGCATGGAATCTCCTCTGGGTCTATCTAATCGAACAACCTTCATGGCACAATGACTCCTCAGGAGCTCAAGCTGGAAGAAGAGGCATACTGGACCTTCGGAGAGCGATGACAGCAACAGTGTTGAACCAATTTGGCAAATGAACTCTCACGATGAATTGGACAATAGTCTCCAGATTTGTGAAGCTGGTTCCCTTTCAGTTTATGATAGGCGACCAAATTCTGCAGAACACAAGGCCATGTGAGCCACCTAGAATGTGAGACTGGACCTATCTGCATGAGGTAAACAAGTCTATCAGGCATGACCCCAGTTTGATAGCTTTTCAAATCTCAGCCTTAACCATAGTGCTGGTCAGTACTTTCAGAGTGCGTCAATGACCAGTATGTGCAAGCTCAACATGGAGTGGGAGACCAACTGTGATTTTTTCAAGAAAGGCTTCGGTTATTTCTTAACTCAGTGGCAGAGTCAGCTTCTTGCCAAGAGGACCAAGACCATCTGTTGTTTGAAAGAGTCTTACCATCAGCTCCTGGATCAAGATGTCTGAAGTGCAGCAACTCGTTGGTGTGGAGTCTGCGACAATCCAGATAGCTTCTCCCAATCTTCGCTCTATCCACTGCTTGGCCCACCTTGCCACCCTGTGTTAAGTGTTGGTGCTGCTCCTCCAATGGCCTGCAGGGTCTGTGATACCGTTCTCTCTCTCTGGGCCAGTTCTGTGTTATCTGCACCACTATCTCAGCTGGTTTCACAAGTGTCATCACTTCCTACAGGGTGATACACAAATACTTCCCTCCTGGTTCACTCGCCCAGGGTGATGTTCCTCCTTCACCATGGCAAGAACAACTTGTAGAATCTCCAACTGCAGACAACTTTGGTGGCCTTCGCCCTATCAAAAGAACAAACAATTGATTCCATTTTCTCTTATCCCTTACAAATACTCCTACAGTTTGCCCCAGCAATTTCTCTTGAGCTCTCCTTACTTTTTGTTATGATCTGCTCCTGGGTAAACATCACATCTGGGTATCAAACCACCGTCAATCCAGGCAGCCTGTTGCTATCTCTGCAGTTCTCTGAGACCAGTGTAGTGTTACGCCTGGCCAGAAACTGTCTTTCGGGATATCTTTCCTATTTCAGATCTGCCCACCGAAGGGTTTGGATCAAAATTATTTTTTACAGGTTGGGGATGAAGTCACCATTCCTCCTGGTCCTTTCAGGATCCAGCCATGATCATTAAACTCTGAATCAGCCAGCCAATCATGGCACCTCACCCTGGGCCTTCTCAAGTCTCTTTTCCTCAGCAGCTCTTTACTCCTCTTCTACCCTACTCTCTCTGTGGCAGCCTCTCTCTGGACTCTGGAATACTCTTGGCTACAAAGTCATGAGAGCCCTACCTGCCAGTCTTCTCTCTCTGTTGGCTGACCGATGCCAGTTCGATCACAGGAATCTTCAGTTCAAGCACCAAATACCCAGGAGATGTGGGCCTCGGTTACCTGATCCTGATCATCAGCCTCAGGACTGAAACAGTGGGCACTTACGTAATTTATGTCAAATAACTGGTCCAGTTGGCAGCAAAAGCTGTCATAACTGCAAGTTTTTCCTCTCCCAGAGATATCTCTTACCTTTTCCCAACTAGCTAATGATCTCTCACTAAATCTTCTTCTGACTTGTTGTGCAATGGAAGCCGGGCAGGCGTTAAGCCCAGGTGTACTATTGCCAAGACAGCAGCTTTGAGTCACCTCCTGGCAATGTCTTTGTTGTATAGGATACAGTTCTTTTCACTGATTTGCCTGATTAAAAACACCGTATCTCAAAGCATCTCTCAATGTGGCAGCCTCCGACTAGGGAGCTCTCTCCCAGACCCAAGATAGTGACTGAGATGGCTGGATTTTGGTTCCTCGTCCTGACACAAGCAGCCATCGCAAATATTATCAACTTATAAATGCATCAGAATCTGAAACAGAAAAAAATATTGTTAGTTGGGTTGTTAAAGAATGAAGTCAGAAAGCAATGTTCACTATTTAATTGTAATGCACTAATGCAGCTGTACGTTAGATTTTCGATAAATTTCACGCTAAAATTTACCTAGCAAAAGGTTGCAAAATATTGAAACTGAAATTATTTTCTGTTTATATACACTAAAATCTATCAAAAAAGTGATGGGCCATTAGTTTTAGCTGATCTTCCCTCCTATGACACACCCTAATGCATATGGTTATCATGTTTCCTTCTTTGGTATGCTCCAAAAGTTTGGGGAAGTGGAGAAGTTCTCCCTGGAGATCGGGCTTGAAAAGTTTCAGTTTCTTCTGGAAAGCTCGAACAGTTGATATCAGATCACACACTGTGTTGTTTCCTCTTTGCATCTTGACATTGAGAGCATTGAGCTGAGATGTAATATCTGCCAAAAAATGCTTCATTTTCCATTTTCTTTTCATCTTGCAAAAACTCTGATAAATGGTTTGCCTTGTCAAACCAGAGAGAGAGAGATGCTGGAGTCCACACCAATGCTAAGTCTGCCAATTGAGTACCCCTTTTCTAGTGTACCAATCATCGACTCCCCATTTTTAGTATGATTTTTTATGTACAGCTTTAAATTCATGGCACCGAATGCCACGTGTCTTAAGACGTCGATAGCACAATTTGGGTAAATCAACTGATGATGATGATAGCAGTTTTAGGGTTAAGAGGAATGTACTCCAATAGATAATTTCTCGTAAGGGAAAAATAGTATTAAATTTGTCAAAATCATCGATAAATTTTAAGTGTGTTGATGTTATCAGATGGCGCTGGAGGAGTTGGGTGAGAGGAGCAACAAGCGAACAAAGGACACAGAGAAAGCAAAGCGTGACCTGGCTGACAAGGTAATGTAATGCTGGCTTTATTTTCTGTACCATGTTTTCATTGTTCAGTCATACTCTCATGATTGCTCTTATGTAAAGGTACAGTACAGGTACATACATAAGTACTGTATACCTGTACAGTAATCCCTTGAATTCTGTTGTCTCTAAGTTGAATTTTATTATACCTCAACAAATTTAGACCATAAATTCCAATTCCTTGTTGTTATTGACTATGCCATGGGTGGTGCCAGGAGTAGCGGGTAAAAGCACTTTATGCACTGTGTGCAGATAATTTAATTTCCATGAAAAAATATTCCTTGTACAGATAGCACAATAGTTATAAAGGACAATATTTCCTACAAGTAAGTTAGTTAGACTGCTAATTAGTGATTTTCTTATGGTTTAATTTTAAGTAGAAATATAGTTATGAAGAATAAATGAAAATGGCATGTAATTGGTGATGGATTACTGTGTTCTGCAACAAATTATGTACTATGTGATAAGTTACCCGGCTTTATGTTGGACTTAGTTTTTTTATATCCCCGGGAATTAAAAGGGTTAATGATGTAATCTTTGTGCAGAGTAAAATGTGATGACATTTTCTGCATACAGAATTGCATGATGCATTAAGTCTGTTGTTGCCATTGAAGAGAGTTTTTTTAAATAGTTGTTCTATTAAGTCCTTGATTTTTTAACCCCAGAAGATATGCCATAAGTAATAAATACTATAAGTTTGTGTCAAAGTTTAAGGTCACAAATTGGACTCATATGTCTAAAGGTCACATTATGTACAGGAACTGGCATCTCTGTCCTATGGATATGTTTCTAGTTATTTCATATTTCTTTTGTTACTTTCAGTTGAGACGAGAATATGAAACGGATAAACAAAAAGTAATACAGTCAACAATGAAGCAGATGGAGAAAGAGGTTGAAAGAGTCAAGGAGGAGTATCGATCTAAGATATCTGAAATAGAAGACAAGCACAAACATGTCATTTCTGATACAAAGAAAAAGCAATGGGTAAGTTACTGCAAGCCTTGTATGAGAGATACAATGTTGAGTTACTGTATCTGTGCACCTCCTTGCTTCTCTCTTGTCTCTTATTTTAATGGGTTTTTTGTGGTATTACAAGTAGTACAGTTTTTTTGTGCCATAAAAAACCTTGCAGGGAGCCACACAAAGTGCCTTGTGCATCTTACAAGGTATCAACATAATCCCTATTTAGTAAAAAGTGTTTTACCAGACCCTGTGCAAAAGCTGAAATATAAAAAAAAAAACTTAACAGCTGAACATCATTGCCAGGAACTAGCTAGCCTATAGCCAAGAGTAAGAGTATATTAGTAAATTGTGAATTTATTAGAACAATTTGGTTACTGATTGGTGGAAAAGTTTGAATGGTGGTCACAGAAGAGAGAAGTGTTGTGAGGTACAGATAAAAAAAAATCAGGGAATTTTTCCCAAGGTGTTGTTAGGTTACTGTTGGTGGCATAAAATGGGGTCAAGTAATGTTGCCCATGTGAGTTTTGTAGAGGTGAGCTGGTGCTAGTGGTAGAGTAGAGTGGTGGTGCAGCAGGTGGTTGTTGATGTGAATACTGTACTGTAATTGGTGGAGCAAGTAGTTGGTGATACAGGTAGTTGGAGCATAAATGGTTTATGGTGCAGGTGGTTGGTAGCTTTAATGGTTGTTGGTACAGATAGTTAGTGGGGCTGATGGTGGGTAGTGTAGATGGTTTGTGATGCAGGAGATTATTGGCACAAATGATTGGTGATGTAAATAATATATACTAATAGGGATGTACCAATGTATCAGTGGGTATCAGCCTATTTTTGGATTATTGGTATTGACCAATTTTCAGCAATACTGCCTATACAGTACTTTCATAATTTTATTTGCTTGATTTTCGTCTCTGGCAGCCCAAACTATTTATTTCTATTATAATGGTTGCCCTATGGCTGGCCCTAGGGTCACCAAGGTGTGAATTTGTTTAAGGTGTAGAAGCTGTTACCAAAAAAAGAACCACACCTTGAGTTAATGAGCTGAGTGACCCAATGTCATGGAATAATCCGAGAAGACTGGACAACTTACCAACTGCACTGGGTAACCATTACCCTGGAACACAATCTGCAAATCAATTAACATCCAGGTTCCCAATTACTTCTGGGAAGATAGAGGCAAATGGCATAAAGAAACTTGCCCATAGTTTCACCCTGCCGGGGGATCAAATCCGGGTCCACTCGCTTGCGAGGCAAGCATGCTGACTATTACACTACATGTCGCTGCTTCAATACACATGTGGCAGATCTTACCGTGAGTGAACTGCTCTGGAATGCAACTAGCAGCTGTATGTTCTCCAGCATATATTAAAAATTTTGGGTCAATAAATGCCTTCTATCTTTGTTTAATGTATTGTATGTACAATATGTCCCCACTCATTGGAACAGCAAGTATTTCATGTTAGAGCACATATATGAAAAAGTAACTGCCATTGCAAACTACTGCTCTGAAGCCCCTAGCCTCCCTGTGTTTCATGCAAACAAATGGAACCTGATTGGGAAGCTCTCTACTCTGTTGAAAAATTTCCACAAGAACACTGTTCGGTTGAGTGAAAGATAATGCACTGTTTCAGATATCCCTCAAATCAAGTTTTTTCAATGTTCAATGTTCATCAACAGATGCTCAGTTTTCTGGCAGTAGTATTCTCACTGCCTTCAAAGCATCAATGGAGAACAGAATTCATAGTTATCTTGATGTTAACAATCCAATACTGACAACATATCTGGATCCAAGATACAAGGATACCTTGTATCAAACTGAAGGTGATGAAACATCTAAAATGTATGAAGTTAACCTACAGAGAATGATGGTCAGCTGTCTTGAGAAGAGGAAGAAGCTCTACAAGAAGAGGAAATGTGAAAATACCAGTGCACATTCCGGTGAAACTGAAATGCAGAACCTAGATAGTCTTGTGCAAATTGATGACTTTAGTGACTTTGATTTTGATAAATGCTTAGACCATTTAGTGACAGGGTGAAAGAGATTGTTCACAGTCTATAGAATCAAATCAATTCCAAGGAGTTATTCAAAGAGTAAAAACATTGTGTTACAACTTCAACTGTCAGAGCTGAAATAGCAGATGCCAGACATTAATTGCAAGCATGTGATGGAAATCCTTTAGATTGGTGGAAAACTAATAAGAACATACTTCCAACATTAAAGTTAGCTTCGCACTAGCACTTTTCCATCATTTTATTGCATAAATTTTCTGCATTCATCAACAATTGTAAACAAAGAAGATGGCATTGTATGCCTTCCTCTTCATTTTTTACTGTATCTGTTGTCCCTTGGGTCCCACAGGCAACAATGAGATCTAATATTGCCTATCATGTACAGGGGGCCCCCCCAAGTTTGCGGATTTTTATTTCGCAGTCATCTATTATTTGCTGATGACACCCTGGATGTACCCAAGAATCTGTGGGCAGTTTTAAAATAACCGGCATTTTCGCGGCTGGGACAGGGAGCCATTCGTTCTAGAGACAGTAATTTCCTTTACCTGTACAGTATTACCCCGCTTTACGCGGTTTCACTTAACGCGATTTCTCATATACGCGGTGCCTCGCCAGAACCGAACTTTCACTTAACGCGGTTCATCTACTCATATACGCGGGAAGCGGCGCAGGCACGATGCGCACAAGGTCGCCCAGTCATCAAAACATTACCGAGTTCTTCACCCGCCACCCACCACAGTCGGCCCAAGTCAGTGATAGTGATAATTATAGTGAGGATATGGACTTATATGGACTTTGAGGGGTTTGACAAAGAGGCCCTGCAAGCCTCTGTGGTGGATAGTGATACAATTGATACAAGTGATACAGGTGAGGGCCAATAATCTGCTCTCTGCCTCGGAACCAACCCCCATCCCTGTGCCCAGCCATCTTTTCTACTAATGTAAGTGTTAAAAACCTAATATTATTGATATTTCTCTTAATTATTAATTGTGTGTGCATACCATCATAAAGTTAAGATAATATTTTTACTACAACATAGTTGTGTGTCACAAAAAGTGGAGTTTGGGGGTCGGGCCAGTCTCTATTGGAATTAATCCCATATGTTCTGTTGTTCACTTAACGCGGTTTTCACTTAACGCGGTACCCTTTGGGTTCAATTGACCGCGTAAAGCGGGGTACTACTGTATTGTACAAATACATAATAATTAGAAAATCCTCTCACAAATACAGTAATCAGAAACAAATTTATTAAAAATGTGACAGTCTATCCTCAAGTCCGTGCTTTATTACTTTATTAATAAAACACGGACTTAAGGGTAGACCTTCACATTTTTAATAAATTTGTTTCTGATTACTGTATTTGCGAGAGTGTTTTCCCATTATTATTTATTTGTATGCGTTTTTGTGTGTGTGTGTCTACACACACACATATCTACAGGATATACCGTATATCTTGGCCCCCCCCAAATTTCCATTTAAAAAGTAGCTTTTGAGCTCTATTCGCTGTATAAGACCAGTACATGTAGTTCTGCTATAACGCGATAATTGTGTTCTTGTAAAATATCGTGTTATAGAAAATCGCGTAATAGAAATAACAGGGCTTATGGAGAAAATAGGGTTCGGTGCAGATTACTCGAAATCGAAAAAATTTAGTAGTTAGCCTAACACAAAGGATAGCACAGTCTAAATAAATGTAATAAATGTTACATTCATATCTAATAATGAAATCATACAGTAATTGTAACACTTTACTTGATGGGGGAGAAGGGTGATTTTGAGGTTGATAAAATCGAGCTTCTCTTCAAGTGTTATATCCTTTCTTTTACGATCATCACCGGGAATTCTCTCACCAGAACGCTTCTTGTTGATATTCTTCTTTACTATATTCACAGTTAATACAGTGGGGTATGCTATAACGAACGGATCCTACTACGAATATTCCTATAACGAACGGTTTTACCTATAAAATTGAGAATGCTATAACGAACGAAACTCCTACAACGAACATTATTTAATTTATTTTTTTTTTTTCTAATTTATTGTTTTTTTATTACAAATATTAATGATATTCTTTATTTCAGGGGTTTAGATGCATATTTATGCACTTTTTTACAATTTTTACAATTTTATATTATATTTTTCAGTGTTAAGTGGTTGTATTTGGGGGCCTGGAACGGATTAATCCTATAACGAACGAATGCTATAACGAACAAGGTTCTAGAACCAATTAGATTCGTTATAGCATACCCCACTGTACCACAAAATTGGAGAAATAGTAAGCAAAAATCGCGTTATAGCAAACAAGCGTTCGCGTTATACAAATATCGTTCCTAATTCATAAATCGCGCTAGAGCAAATTCGTGTTATCAAAACACGCGTTATAGCAGAACTCACTGTACCCCAAATGTGACACTTACCCACTGACTCAGTAGTCCTCTACCAACCATCCTTGGTTTTTTAAAATAAGGCCAATTCACTTCAAGTAATGTCATCAAATGTTACCCGCTGGTGTAGTGTAAACACTAGTGACATCACTGAAGCGTCTGCTATTTACCGGTAACTGGAACTAATGTCGGTGTCGAGTAAAATTTTTCCATTTACTTGAAATGGATTTACCGATTTATTTGTTTATTTATTTATTTATAATATACTGTAACATATTAAACACACTGCAAGTATTTTCTTTAATTTATACGCTTGCTTCACACGAGACGATCGGTGGTGGGAGTGTTACCTCGTCTCGGTGGTGGGACTGTGTTCCCACTGTTTACCGTACTTTTCTTTTAGTAAGTTCTTTTTTGTTATATTTTTTACTACAAGTGTTATTTTATGTGGATAAAAATGTTACAATGGACTTAAAACTATAAAAAATCATCTGAGCATGCTTGAAAACATACATATCGACACCAAGATCACCCAGATTGACCAACTACATCAATTTCTATAAGAAAAATCAACTTTTGAAGGTCAATATGGCGGTCATCTTGAAAAATGGTCGCCATCTTGGATTTTTA